TCCGCTGCCCTTCTCAAAGTATTTCGTTGATACCAGCTAACCACTCCTTATAATCCTAGAGGGTTTCTCGTCAACACACGGACACAAGCGTACATACATATACACATTCACACACAAACAAGAAAAACTGTCACAATAAACGTATGCCTCCTCCAAAGTCGAAGGAAGTACGTTTTCGTTGATAAGAAAATTTTGAAAATTTATTAAATGTTTTTTTTTTTGGCTTTTTTTTTTTTTTTTTTAGTTATATCTTTTCTAATTTTTTATTGTTCTCACTTTTCTTTGATTTTTTGTTGTTTGGCTTCATTTAAATCTTTTTTTGGGGGGTACACTTCATTTTTTTCTTCATCTTCTCAATCGTGCCATCTTCTAACTACTTTTCCATTTCTTTTTACACTTTTGTTTTTTTATTCGCTATTTTCGTCTTTGTTTTCTTTCAGGTATGTTATTTAAATCTTTCTCTTACACCTTTTACTTCTTCTTTTCTTTGTTTCCTTCGTCTTAACATTTTTCATTTCTTTAGTTATTCTTTCTTTTCTGTTTTTATTTCTCATCTTTTCCTTTTTGCAGTTATCTAATTTTCCTTTTCTTCTTTTCTTTCCCTTCGTTTCTTTAATTCCTCTCTTTCTCCTTTTTTTTTTCTTTGTTTACTTTCTTCCTTTTTTGCGTTCTTCGTTACGCTTTTTCTTCTTTTTATCTTCCTTTGTCTTCTTTATATTCTTTATTCTGTTTCTTTCTTTTTTCTTTTCCCTGTTCTTCTTTTTTGTTATTTTGTTTCTTTCTTCTGTTCTCTCTTCTTTTCTTTCTTCTCTCTTCTTTTCTCTCTTCTTTTCTTTCTTCATTTCTTTCTTCTTTTCTTTCTTCTTTTCTTTCTTCTTTCTTCTTTTCTTTCTTCTTTTCTCTCTTCTTTTCTTTCTTCTTTTCTTTCTTCTTTTCTCTCTTCTTTTCTTTCTTCTTTTCTCTCTTCTTTCTTCTTTTCTTTCTTCTTATTTTCCTATTTTTTTTTTGCATCCCTTTATTTCTTTCGTCATTCATTTTCTTTGTTTTTTTGTCGTTTATTCTTCTATGTCTTTCTACTTTATTCACTTTTGTTTCTCTTTCTTATCTGCTTTTTCCCCTTCAGTTATAAAAATTATTCCTTTGATTTAACGACTTACATGGCAGCCAATAATTGATTTAAGCTCCCGCGAAACAAAATTCAATTATTCAATTAATTCTTGTTTTTTTTACGGTTTATTGTGGGTTATTTTAAACCAAAACATTTCGCATTGTAGGAGATTATTTATGGTAACAGTTGTTAGTAAATGGTCCCCCATCAAATACTGAGCGAACTCGGCGCTGCTTAACTTCGTTTTATTTAAACTTTAACACTTTGCATTATTCACTACTTTCCTTTCCACTGCATTGTTTTTCAAGGATCTTTTACTGTACAACTTAATTTCAGTCATGGTCATTTTCTGTTATTTATTCATCTGAGTCACTTGCAATGGCAGGATAATTTTTTTTCTTTGCAAGCAAAGTCACCTCCAGTATATGAAAGGTTAATCAATATTTGTCAAGATTCAGTTTATACAAACAAGCAAAAATAATGAAATACAGTTAGCAGATATAACAACATTCGACGTTTTTGTCTGAAGCTTCTCTTCAAATCTTATTCATTTTAAATTCGTAAATATACGAGTGTGTTTAAACTGCTAAGTAAAGTTGACTTATTTGGAAAAGATATTAGAATAATACAGAACTTCTAGTGGGAACAAACTACCCGCATACAGATAGAAAATGAATTCAGTAAAAACACAAAAATAGAAATGGTTGTAAGACAAGGATGTGACGTCTCACCAGACAATTTCCTGAGTGAATTAGGATTCATTATTATGGACCAGTATCTTAAAAATGTAAGATAGGCAGATGACACGGTATTGATAGTAGTC